TTACCATATTCCGTGAGTTTTTACTTGGATGTTCGTCCAGCCTTAACTTTGGATGGAGCTATTGATAGATTCCGAAGATGGATATATTTATTTATGGAACGAAATAATCAATCTGGAGGAAAATGTAAGTATAAAAAAGCGAATTTATACATGATTATATATGATTATATATGATAATACATGATTATACATAATAACATTATCATTCATTACATTTTATCAAATAATAGAAGTCATTTTGACCAAAAAAAAAAAAATTTTTGATTATGTTTTTCTATAGATACATGTTTATGGTAAAACTATATATTTTTGCAAATGACTTGGAATGGCACCTAAAAGGTTTTTAGTTTCTAACCATTTTCGACCTGCAATAATAATCATGATGAGTAAAGAAAAAAAGAACGTCATTAATTATAACTTTACAAATAATTTTTCAAGACTTACTGAACAGTCGTGACTGATATCTATAAGCACCATCACATAAGATGGTGACAACTTTTTTACCTAAATGATTAATAATGTCATTAACATAAAGTTGTATTTTATAGATATTAATAATAAAATAAAAAAAATAAAAAAAATAAAATAAAATAAAAAATAACCTGGTCCTAATTGCTTTGCCATCTCTACAGCTGCAACAACATTTAATGCGGTTGATGCACCAATATAAAGACCCTCTTCATCCAACAATCTATACACCATTTCAATAGATTTTTCATCAGGAATATACAACGCATCATCTATTAAATGCACATCACCCGGTACCAGCCGTTCCTTTTGATAATCCAGAAAATTACAACCATCAAGCTCGTCGTCATGCTGAGAGACTTGATAACGCTGTATGGACTAATCAGTTTGATAATACTGCAAATCGACGTGCACACTTTGAAACCACCGGGCCTGAAATTTGGGAACAAACCAATGGTCAAATTGATGGCTTCACTTGTTCCACTGGCACTGGTGGAACCCTTGCTGGTGTGACTCGCTTTTTAAAAGAGAAAAATCCTCAAGTTAAAGTATTTATTGCTGATCCACCAGGTTCTGTTTTATATGCT